TGAATGTTTGCTTTCAGTGACAGCTCCAGCATGTGCTGGCCTCCAATTCTGTCTCATCCCTGCCTGACCGCTCTGCACAAATGTTTGTGCTGGCACGAAAGCAGGGAAGGGAACACATATTTGGGTGTAGGGAGAGGATGGGATTGCTTCCTTCGGCCACAGTGCCAGCTGACGGTGGGTAAAGGTCTTCTGTCAAAACAGCAGCCTGCGTGCGCTCAGATAAATCGGCGTATCTGACAGTCTGCGCCCGAGAGGCGGCGCTCAGCCGCAGGGTGGGAAGAGCCTGGGAATGGGAGGGCTGGCACAGGGCAGAATGGAAGACCTGGCCTCTGGTGGGGGGCTGCTGGTAGGAGTAGGGGACCTGGTGGGCTTGGAGTCTGTGGCTGTCTTGGAGGATACCAGCGGTGGCTCTGGCAGCCTGGCAGAGGGACAGGAGGACAAGAAGGAGGGTGTGGAGCTGTGGGGACTCCCAGGGTCAAACTGTGGGCAGAGCAATGGCATCTGGGGGTAGAGGTGGCAACCCACAGCTATAGGGCAGTGTGGTGGCAATAAATGTGATGAGTGTGGCAAGGAGATGTGGTTAACTTGTTCCTTCTCCTACCATATCTCAGCTTGTGGAGATGCTGAGTGCCTGTATCTCCATCCAAACTTACGGATGGCATACGTGGCATGTTGTGAGACTGTGTGCACCCCTCCATGAGCACATGGAGGGGAGCACGCAGACTGGGCTGTGATTCTGTGGTAAGCACTTTTCCTTCAGGTGACAAAGTGAGAACTGAAGAGTAAGAGTCCAGTGCCATGCCCCAGGCTGATCAGGGCTGGAGCAGGTCTTCACTATGCAAAGGTTGGCCATCCGGGAGCAAACCTTATCGTCTGGGTAGCATAGGTGGATGGGGGTGTGGGGTGTGTGGCAAGGCAGGGGAGCAAAACAGCACCAGTTTGCCAGTAGCTGAGGCTGTGAGGACCAGATACATCCAAAGATGACAGAGATTTGCATTGTGGTCCCCCCAACCTGGCTTCTCTGTCACTCTCTGGAGCTGCATTTTAGGAGCTTGGAAAAAGGAGAGTCTGGGTTGAGGAGGCTCCTGGGCTATCTACGCATGGCAGGGTGAGCTTCAGCTGTTTGCGCCGTTTCTTCGCCTAGCACGGAGGTAATTGCCTGTGCTGCAGTGGGTGCATCACTCAAACTAATTTGCTTGATCATTTCAATAAATGTAGATGGGATGTCCTGGTGTGCAAGTAATGGGGCATTAATCCATGCCTGGCTGTGTTAACAGCACTCTAGGAAGGCATTACTGCCACGTAATTCATCACCTGTGCAGCTCTCGCTCTCTTAATTACAGGATGTTTGATTTAGGACTCCTCTTCCATGAGGGCTGCTCAGCCTCTTCTACTTTGAGGTGCCTTTTGGGTGGCTACCAGTTTCCTCTCAGCTCTGCGTTCCGTGCAGCTTTCCAGTTCCAGCAGCACCGTTGTGCACCTGGCTGTGAAGTTTAACCACACGAAGACTTTCTTGAGGCATCAGCACCTTTTTGGTACTGCTGGCTTGTCTGCTGCCCCACTGCAGGGTGCTGATGGTTTCCTGGGAAGATGCAAGCCCTGCTCCCAGAGGAAGCACTGGAGCTACAGCCCTGCTTGGCTGCAGACGCTTTTCTTGCCTGCATTTTTTGGCTCCTGAGAGCACCGTGTGCCTGGGGAGATATACTTAGGTCCTTACCTAATCTCTTTCCTTTCTAGGTTAAATGTATAATGTTGTTCTGGATTTGTTTTTTAAATATCCTATGAAATTACTGGCATCCCCTCCCAGCTGGTGTTTTTCTCAGGCTGCAGGACTGCACTAGCTATTTTCCTGCCTTGGGATAGACTGGGGTCCAGCTCTGCCCAGGAACAGCCTGGCCAAGGTGCTGGAGGAGGCTTCATCACTCACCATCTTCTAAGGGATTCAGGGAGATCTGTAGATCCCAGCAAAGTGCCCAGATGGAGTTCGCGCTGACTTTGGGTTTGTTTTGCAAATGGTCGCTCACTGGAGCTCTGTTTAAACAAACACAGCTCAAATAAATAAGCTTTCCACTTCAGTGCATTAAAATCCCTTAATGCATTAAAATCCCCTGGCCACGGACGTTCAGGCCTCTGTCGTGCCAGGTGCTGTATAAACAGTTACCGAGTGCTGGTGTCTGCTGTAAAATGATCACATCATTCACTTCCCCTCGCTCGTCCCTCAGTTGAGTAGCTTTTGTTAGGAGAGATGATACTGGTCCTGGCATTTGCTGGCCATACAGCCAGCACCGAGGAAACCTGTAACTTTGCCCAGTTTTAAACGCAGGAAGGTTGTTTTTACCCTTTCCTGCTGTGCAGCTGCAGCAGGAGGGTCTGTTCCCGGCTGGGAAGCAGCGGCTGGAGCCCTGGGGAGGGCTCTGCAGTTACTGGGCAGGTGAAGAGCTGAAGCCAAAAGTCAGAAGGAAGGAGAGAGCTAAACCCAGCTGTCCCAGGTCCTTCTCGGTGCTCGTCTTCTCCCACCCCCATCAGCCTACGTACCTATGTGTGTCAGCAGGTAAGAGACCTGTGGTGCATTTGTGCCTTCATCTCTGGCTCTTGCTCTTTCGGCTACCTGTCCGTGGTGGATATTAGCAGCCTTGCTGTCTTCTCTTGGGTTGCCCTTTGCGATGGGTGCCTGGCCTCCTGGATGCCCCTCTGCAGGGAAGAACGCAGCAGGGGCAACAAGGGGGGAGTTTGCCAGAGCTTGGAGTAGGGTATCAGGCCACTTACAGAATCACAGAACAGTTTGGGTTAAACTGTATTAAACTGTTCTCCTGTTTCTTTTTTTTTTTTCCTAATGTTATGCTGGAGAAAATGTAACTATTTATTTTGGCAGAAACACACCTTCTAATAAAACTTTCTCAGTGCATTTCCCTGGCGGTGGTAGGTTGCTTGTCTTGCCGTTTAAAGAGTTATTAAATCTTCTGTGAATGCGCTGTATGACCTGGGTTTGTCTTGCTGGGTTTGGCCTGTCTGAAATCATAGAATTGTAGAATGGGTTGGGTTGGAAGGGACCTTAAAGATCATCCAGTTCCAACCCCCCTGCCATGGGCAGGGACACCTTC